CTATCTATCCTATCTATCCTATCTATCCTATCTATCCTATCTATCCTATCTATCCTATCTATCCTATCTATCCTATCTATCCTATCTATCCAATCTATCTAATCTATCTCTATCTCTATCTCTATCTCTATCTCTATCTCTATCTATCTCTATCTCTATCTCTATCTCTATCTCTATCTCTATCTAATCTATCTAATCTATCTAATCTATCTAATCTATCTAATCTATCTAATCTATCTAATCTATCTAATCTATCTAATCTATCTAATCTATCTAATCTATCTATCTATCTATCTATCTATCTGTCTGTCTCTCTCTCTCTCTATATATATATATACTATATTTATACACACACATATATATATATACATACATATATATATACATATATATATATATACATATATATATATATACATATACGTACACATATATATATACATATATATATATACACACACTGTATCTATCTATCTCTATATATATATATTATATATATACACTATATATATATATGCTGTCTAATATTATATTGTATATATGGGAATCGAAGCAACATCTCAAGCACGGTGATGTTTGAAGAACTGATTCACGGAGCCCTTTGGGGATTGTTCCCTTCGAAGATGTGGATTTCACCTGCAGGGACGGCTTTACTCCCTTCAGCAACATGTATGGGTGTGTATTTTACTTGAAAGTATAGGGGGGATCCAACCAACATATTTTTTTCCCGCTGGAAAGGAAATCAGAATCTTATCAACAAAGATGTATCGGAATTATGGACACTTTGAGGATGCCCAAACGCAAATATGGAGGATAGAAATCCACCAATGAATGGTGGTTTCTTCAGCGGAATTCAGCCGTGATGGATGGGGGATTGAATCAACCGGGAACATGATGAATTCTGCATTGATGCTGTCGAAAAACCACCAGTTTTATGCAGCAAAGAATGGGATTTTCACCAGTGGGCATGGATGTTCACCAGCTATGAACTCCACCAAGAATCAGAAGGCTTTTGAGTTTCTTGTTAGCATTTGTTTGTTACATCCCAATTTTACCCCTTCGTTTGTCCCTTGACCGAAGTGGGTCCAACACACCGGGATATTTTTGAGGTACTTACAACACAACTAGCAATCACAGGAGAGCAGGTAGCCAGCAAGATGGGCGCAAGCACAGATCAACATGATCAACAAATGGGATTGGAGGTTATCCTCTGGTAAACGTTAACAAAAAACTATGGAAAGATCCACCATTTTTAATGAGAAAATCCACTATAAATGGCAATTTTCAATAGCTATGTTAAATTAACAGAGGGTATGACCTGGACAAACAAACCCCTTTCCGATCCCCATCCCGGATAGACTCGTCGATCATGTCCAAAAGTTAGCATGCCTGCTAGCCAAAAAACATGATTATCTGGTTGGTGGTGACTGGAACAATTGGGAATTTCATCATCCCAACTGACTACAGATTTTGATTTTTCAGAGGGGTTGAACTCAGGTCACTCAACCACCTTAACCAGTTACATTGATGAAAAATACCATGGGATTCTTCCATGTCTGGGGGATGGTCATAGAAAAATCGGGGTTTTGTCATGTTTTGGTTCCACTTAAAAAACCCATGGCTGGTCCCATGGCGAAGTACCAGGAGAATCACCGCCATTCTCTACCTCAACGCTGCTGGGACCTGGCGCGCCAGTGTCTGTATTTGCTATGTGTTTGTGCTGATATATTATGTATATATACCAGATACAGACATACACATGGTAAAAATGGTATATATTATGTTTATATGTATATAATGGTATTATGCATTATGTACTCATAGGTATTATGTATATATAATTATATGGCTATGGGTCAATACCTATAGATACATTACTATAGTGGGATGAACATCCATAAATCCCAGCGATTTTGATGTGAACAGAAGGGGTACAAGGTTTTGACACACTGCCATATATATACAATATTGTATAATTATGTATATTATATGCGACATATACACTGTTACATGTATATGTATATATATATATAATATGCAGAATTATATAGATACGCAAGGATGGGTGTGCACATAGATTCACATGTACAATTGCGTGCATGTAGATGAGCACTCACGTGTATATATATAATATATATATAATATATATATATATGAAAAAAATGATATATATATATATATTTACATTCATGCATACCTACGTACATAGCTGTATACATAGAGACATGTAAGCAACATTGATTTATACTTTTGGATATTTTAGTTTCTATCTCTTGTTTGATATGATGTGTTCCCAAGAAAGATGAATCACCTCTGGTAGTTTCTCCAGCGGTCACGGGGCTGGGCTACATACCCAGGGTAGAACGGTTCTGGCAGGATGATGCGCAGGTTTTCTGGTTTCAGCATTTCTGTTCAAGATCTGTTGGGAAGGGCTGAAAATGAGGAAATCCTCAAAAAATGGATGAACATACTGAAATCATCTGAAAATTAGGATTCATCAATCCCAATAAATTCATGAAACATACTGAAGTCATCTGAAATCCATGAATTTTGGTGAGTCCATTGCTACCCCAATGACTTGACTCCCCAGATTCTCCAGAATTCACAAAAGACGATTCCGTGGGTCAAGAACTACTATCACTTCGCATATTCAACCAGACATTGCTGGTGATGTTAATACTTATTGTGGAATTTACCACTGGACAGTGCCATGTGCCTAGGCTGAATGCTGGCTTTCAGAAATAAACACATCAGGAAATAGTTTGATCCAATGTGAATAGGTGGGATCGGTGGAAACCAAAAATCTACTGAAACCAAGCCTGGCAACAGAGAAATGACCTGTAGATCATCAGGGGCACCGAACTGATATTGAGCCAATGAAGTTAGAGACCTGGTTGCATATAAGGAAAGACCTGGAAGCAGCGAGTGAGCATTATATATATAATATACATATTCCGGATGAATATACATATTCCGGATGAATTATAATGACCGCACATCGTGACGTCACTGGAATGATGGCTGACGGGAATTGGATTTGGGGACTCATCCTCAAATGGCCGCAAGTTTCAGCCCTGTTCAGTTGGTGAATTATTCGAATTCAGCCAGATATAATATGTAAATATACATACAATATATAGTATTATTGGTAATTACTACAATTTGGTATTTTCTACAATATCGGATATATCCCGCTGAATAAGATCCATAAACAATAATAACATGTATCAAAATATAATCCCCGGTCATCTCTCAGACTGGCTAACACGTTCAACGTGCCCTCAGGAGCAATGGGAAGACTCCAACGGAGGAGCGCTCCGTGCCTTTGGCGAAGACGAGTCCAGCTATGTGGAGGTGCCACTTGGAGGGTTTGAGGGAGAAATCGAAAAAGGACACCTCATTCATGTAGGAAACCAGAGCAGGAAATATGGTTTTGCTCATTTTTGTTGGCAAATTGAAATCAGAAAACCAGGAAACTACTTTGAATGTATATATCGATATATATATATAATTATATATATATACGCATGTATGTCATGTGTCGAGTCATATGTCATATGACATATGTCATATGTATATGTATACATGTACACACTCCTCAAACCATGAGGCACTTTTTGTGGTTTCCGGTTTCCTGGTTTCATGTTCCCTTCAACTATTTCTGGCATATTGAGGTTTTAAATGGCTGCACCTGAATGGGAATGTATTTACGACTTCACCGTAGGTTGTCTTGCGCAACTTCCTCTTCAGGGCCCCAGGGTTCAAGGGAACATTGGCCGAAATTCAGGAAGCCCAGATATTGAATATTTAATAGCTAGATGTAAAAAAAACCTATTTTTTTCCACACTTTTTCCCTGAAACTCATCCATTAACCATGGGTATTCGGTATTACCTTGGAATAGACATGGGCTTCTGATCGAACCCAGGAAATCCACTCGTTGTGACACCAGGCTTTAGGTCGGTCGCCAGAATCGCCCCCGGGCCCCATGGAGAATCATCCCAGGAATGGGATTGGAAAAATCGCAAGCCATTGATATGTGGTTGATATACCCTCTGGTAAACCCCCCACTTAGGACTTCAAGTCTATTTCACTGGATCGAGCTGCCCAGGCCTTTCCTCACGGTGGCTCCCTGGTCCTGTTTCGATCCAGGGACTTAGTGCACCAGGTGATGCCTACATCTCGGGACCGCTATGCATTGACCATGTGGTATGTCGCTGAGGACGTGTAGCCGCTACGTAGCCGCTACGTGGCCGTGTAGCCGGTCCAGGGACGTGTCATGGTGGCTTCAAGGACTTGTTTCTGATGCAAAACCATTGGCATCGAAGCCATTGACGACTCCCAGATGGATTTGTTTGGAACATTTTGGAACCACCCATCTGATTGGCTTTTGTGGTCATTTGGACTTGACACGCCCATAAATCCTGCCGTGCGCGGATGATGTGAGAAATGGTGCGCGCCTCGCTGGCTTCAGTAACTCCCCTAGATTTAACATGGATCCAAACGGGGAACGCTATTCCGATGGGCTTGTTTTCGATGATGTTTGGATTTCCACAAGCTGATCATTACCATGTATGTTTGGATTTCCACCACCTGCTCCAAGTACCATTTTGGGGTTTCCATAAAATTTAACGAGGACCGGACCAAGGATTTCACCACTGGACCACCATATTTTTTCTTCAAGCTTTGCTAGGCAAGGCCATGGCATTCGGGTGCGGACTCCGACCAACAGAGCATCCCTGGCTGAATGAGACGATGGCTTGAAGTGCAATCCACCTGTTTTTTTTACATACATGTAGAGAATAAGACATACCAGTGAAGCAGATACCCTCTGGTAAACTAACATAACTATTTAACATCACAATGTTTAATGGGAAAATTCAGTACAAATGGCCATTTTCAATAGCTATGTTAGTCATTACCAGAGGGTATAATGTGACGTGACATATCAGCAATCCTGGACCCGAAAAAAGTTGGTATCATCCAACCAACGTTCCGCGCCATGGCGTTCCACATTCCTCGTTCCGGACGGCACGCGCGGCGTAGCGCGCTGGCTGCGCTGATTGCAAGCTTGGCATTCTTGGCGTACAGGCGTGGGCTGATGGGAGGATCATCCCAGCGATCTTCGTCGATCCCAAAAAGTGCTGTTATCTTTTTTTTTAATGGGGTATCGGCATCGGTATAACTCGGCAAAGTCTGCAACGTCGCCTCTGGGATGATCCTCCGAAAGTAGGTGGTTAGCCAATCTGGTTCTGGTTCTTGTCACCAGATCCATGGATATCCTGGTAGAGTCCTAGAGGGCAAAGGATACCAGATGCCATGATCCTCCTTATGACTAGCAACCTGGCTTGGGAGACAACTCTGTTATGTGTTTGTTCAAAGTGGGGACTGTGAGCGGCCCCATTTTACTCAGTTCTGATGGGGAAAATAGATGAACAATGATGAACATATCAGACAAATCCTTTCTGAATCATCATAAACCCATCATTTTTCTTAGGGGAAACCATCGAAAACCCATGTTTTTTTTTCACCACTTTCAGACCCAGAGATCCGAAAAATCTGCCGAGGAGCCTTCCATTTGTGGCTCCGAGCCAGGCAGAGTTGCGGTGGGCTGTTGGTTTCCAAGTTTCGGTAGTCAAAAACAGCCGCTTCCGATGAATTTCTGATATAATATATATAACTTACAAGTTAAGATGATGATGTTATTATGATCAACTGATAGTCTATAAGTGATTGTTTCGAGCAACTAGCATGATATAACCGATACAACTGATACTGAAAGTGATAAGTTTCCTTTTTGCCATGTAATTTCCTCACCAGACCCCTCAAGGGAGCGGTCTGTTTTTGCACTGTAATGTGACATTCTAGGCATCATAGAGTCATAGAAGTTCAGACATTCATCAAATTAGCTTTGCGCCATGCATGTTCACCATGCTTTGCAAGTGATAAATGATGGGTGAACAGACTGGTGAATGGAGCCCAGACGTGGGTACAAACCGACTGGTGAATGGGAGCATGAATAGGTTGATCGTTCTGTCAGTTTATGCAGGAATAGACCAAACATTCTCCACATATATATATAGATATAGAGATAGAGTATGTAATCTAGAGTATATAGACATGTACTATATATCTTGCTTAAACATATGCAAACAGTTATATATCCAGGGGTAGCCATGGGTCACTGACTTGATCAGTTGTTGATTAGCTATTTGATTAATTCTCACTTGCAATAAAGTTTCAGGAGAAATAAAGTAGTCTGCTGATTCTTGGAGCATTTGTTGGCCTGAAGTCCTGAGAAGCTGTGGAACATGCAGTCTGTTGGATGCGCAGACTAATCAAGATGACCTGACTTGAATAACATCAATGATTCTGGATTGAATCCTGGAATTGTGTGAACTCAAATCAAGGATCTACTGTACATTAAATCAATTATAAATCATTATAGTATATGTATATATGTATATATGTATATATCTACATGATAATATAATTATATATACATTATCATATTATAGATCATTATCCTACTTTTGCTTTTACCATATTGCCGTTGATTGGAAAAAAAACAACCCGCACGAGATCGATTCGCAAGAGTCGGATGGGTAGATTAGAACAATCTTGGATGGGCACTCTCGCGCTAGAATCTGTTGCCATTTGTATGGGAATATCATATACTCACCAGTTATTTTTTTTAAAGGGGTATCTCAGAGTAGCGATGTTCTAGTTTAGCACCTTTAAAAAGGCAGAAAAGATGAAAAATCCCGCTAGAACAGTGAGAAATTGACCTGTCTTCTGCATATTTTCTTGTGATTACTATCATTACTCTCTGGTAAACTAACATAACTATGGAAAATCACCGTTTTTAATGGGAAAATCCAGTATAAATGGTCATTTTCAATAGCTATGTTAAATTACCAGAGGGTACTATCTATTTACCCAGATATAGCAGGGTCAACCCTCTCAACACCAAAGAAACGCGCTCCTGCGCTGCAGGAGAACCGAGGCCGGTTCGGCAGGTTTTTTTTTTTGCGGCCAAGGTGCTGACTATGAGAAGCCACGTTGGGGATAGCTATTAACCAACCAATACACGGGGATGGGATAATGGGATAGGTTGATTTAATGTTATTTATCATGGCTTATGTAGGATTTTGACCAGCAAATATGAACATGACCCGTTTTGACTTACACCACCATTTTGCAGGCGACAAAGAAGTCAAATTGGCGGATCTTTGACTTCCAGATCAACTGGATGTGCATCTCTTATTGGGAACTGGTTGATAGAGTCCCCGTTGGAACTGGTTGATCAACCACAATTACCGGTATCAACCAGCTCTTTAACCCAACAAGTCATAAAATATTTGACCATCCATAAATCCTAAAGCCCAGCACTATGAAATGTTGAGTTCTTGTGAAATAACGTTCACCTCTGTTATGCCTTGTGAGTACCACTGCCTAAGTGGGACGCTTCGCAGGCAGTTTGGTGCCCAAGTCATCCATGGCGCCCAAGCCCGGCATGGTGGAGGTTGACGCCATTGCCGCCTCTTCGAAGCCAAGGGAGCAGAACATTGCCCATTTTATAGATGATTTAGCTATTGAATTAGTGTTTATTCCATGGTTGTCATATATATATATATTCCATAATTGTTAAATTAGTGTTTATTCCATGCTTATTCCATATTACCGGAGGGTGTGTATATGTATATATATATATATATACAGATGAAGTAAGGTCATTGTATAAGTATCCCAGTCATCCCATCTACAAGTGCTTAGTGATTTCACATTACAATTGACCCATAAACAGAGATTCATTGGGTTGGTTTAAGGGAAAATCTATATACAGGAAACCATGGTTTTTACCATCAAATATAGGGCTTTCCTGTAAAATTTCCCATCATCCAATTCTATGAGAGATCAACTGGGGCTCGATGACTCTTGCAAAGTCATGAGTTTTTTTCAGTTCCCAGTCATGGAGGTGTCCCTCAGAATGGGGGACCTCAAAATCATTGAAGTCCGCCTGGAAAAGGTACTGAGAAATCTATTGGCCAATACAAAAGGATTCACAAAAATGCTGGAATGAGCACCCATGTACATCATGAAATACATCCATATGCCTCTCGACCATGTTTTGACCATGGCGCACATGTCTGTTGCTAACTCCCCCTTCAAGGTGGTACCAGTTATGTTTGTTGGTTTATGTGAAAGCCATCTGGGTATAGATGTGTCCATCATATATAAACTATTCGTCGAAGAAGCTAGGTATAAATCGGCTGTCTTAGCTAGCGCTGTTGGGGGCTATGAATCTGATTATATGCCATTATATTTCCAATCTGGTTTGTTTATACTCTCATTTTGTCGCTTAATCATCACTTTTCCCTTTTTTGTATATGCTTTTGGATGAGTTGAATTCCCATTATGATAATAGATTAACCATCCATGATATAGTTATATTAACCATCACTTAGCGAATTCATTAGCCATACTGGTGAACCATCATTAAATGCATATGAGTATATAACCAACTTAACTTAGCTAACTTATTCACCAAAACATATAATATATAATTATACATATACACATGTATATTTTAGGTGCATTATATGAGCACTTTGCGATTTTCTTAATCATCTATAAGCTGCTGCTCCCACGTTATAAGTTGGTTATTACAACCTCAATGAACTAGTTCGATATCCGATTTCTACACGAAGTAAGCCGAGTAAACTGATCAAGCTAATTATATCAACTTGTCAAGTGTTTGAGGGCTTCACATAGCTCCAGGTAGGTAGGTACTGGGGTAGGTACAAGGTGAAGGCCCCAGGTATCAGTTGGTTTATCCCATGAAGTACAGTTATCTGGTTGGTGGTTTGGATCATTTTTTATTTTCCATACTATATGGAATAATCATCCCAACTGACTTTCATATTTTTCAGAGGGGTAGGTCAACATAGGTCAAGCACCAACCACCAACCAGTTATATGTCAACCATCGAATTCACCAAGTGATAAAAGCCTCAAATCCCAGCGAAATGGCAGTGTGTCAAAACCTTGTACCCCTGGTGAACATCAAAATAGCTGGTAAATGGATGTTCATTCCCCTAAAAATGGTATTAATAGGTATTGATCCATACCCAAATCCCAGCGAAATCACCCTAAGGACGGTCGCATCTTCGTGTCCATCGCCGCCTACGCCGATCCCGAACTGCCCAACACCATGCTGTCGTTGCTCAGCGCGGCGGAGCGGCCGGAGTTGATCCACTTTGGCATTGCGGCGCGGCAGATGGGTTGATGCCCATTGTGCAGGTTTGCACCATTGGGATTTAACCATGAAATGTAGAGGTTAACCATGACATCTAGGGGTTTCATGGTTAATGATTCTATAGGATGATATATGGCGTATATGAAATTGATCAATCCAGGGTTGAGAAAAAAAGATCACCCAAGATGGGATTTAACATGATTTAACCATGAAATCTAGGGGTTTGTTTCATGGGATTCCCAGTTTCATGGGATGCAAATATGGGAATTTAGGTGGGTTTGATCACTATGAACTCAATGGATTTTCATCGGAGTTTCATGGGATTTTCATGGGATTTATATGGGATTTACCCTCTCTTAAATAAACATAGACCCTGAAAATAACCAATTTTCAAAGGAAACTAATCTCCCAACCCCTATCTGGCAGGGTCTATGTTAACTTACTGGAGGGTAATTATTATCACATTAACAGGGTGTTATGGGGTAATATGGGGTATAGAGATAGAACTGATAAATTATGATTGGTTGATGATATAGGATTAAACTAAACACTATATGAAGGGGATTATCACAAGCCATTGAATGGGGAAATCCTATCAACCAGTATGAAAGGACAACACAGGGTCTTGAACATTGTGAACATTGATATTCATAACAATTGATGACCATTCGCTACCCATTAGTATAGTAAACCAGTAATAATTAATATTACCTTGTCGCAATTTGGCATAACTACGGAAAATCTGCATCTTGTCATAGGTAAACCACCTACATAGGTAAACCATCTACAAGCGGACAATTTTCCTTCGCGATTTTAAAGTATCAGATGGCAAGCCACCAAACATGGGCTTTAAAAACAGAATCATACATCGTGGTTTGAAACAATGTATGTTGTTTATCACAATGGATATGATGAGATCGCCCAAAACACATAGCAGGGATATGACCCAACAATGGGGATATCGGATACACTGGGATATAATCCATCTACGGGATGGGCACTCCCATCCTCCGAGTATTTTTTTATCCCCGCCTGCCATGGGCCCGGCAATGAACACGGCCTACTCCAGGGTTCGCCGGTATTGAATGTTAGGGCGAAGGGAATATGTAACAAGATTGAACCATCCAACTGGGAATAGAATCTAAACCAATGGTTTTTTTTTGCAATTGGAGAAAGTAGCAGTATGAGGTTGTCAGGGTTTAAGCCACCCAAGAGGGACTTGAACCAAGAAGCTTATTATTAGACCACAGCTAGCAAATGGAAGTATCATGGGGTTGAACCGGCTTGAATTGGAATATCAGTCCGGAAATTGGAATACCACATATTAGATCATAATAGAACCATATATGCTGGAGATAAATGGATCAAATACCATCAAATAAACCCTTCCGGTCCCATCCCTTCCCATTTGTTGGAATTTGGTCAAAATTCATATCTGGTTGGTGGTTTGGAACATGGCTGGATTATTTTTCCCATCATATTGGGGAATTTCATCATCCCAACTGACGAACTCATATTTTTCAAGATGGTTAAAACCACCAACTAGTATAGATATTATATCATCCCATTGTTAATCACTGTAGATAAACATTGTTATTAATCACTAAAAAATATGGATGTTAGTCTAGTTTAGTATTAACCATCCATAATTTTGGGATACCTAATTTTGACCCATACCCATATCTATAATGTGGGTAAAACAGTTTCATTCATTTTTCCATGGTAAAATCCTCCATGGCCCCAGGTCTGGCAAGGTCCCGGAAGTGGATTTGCAGCGGAAGATCTCTCTGAGTTCCTGGGGTCCAGAGAGTGTTTCCGCGGGAAAATGGGCCATGGGGAAAATCTGATATCCCCAGTTTTTGGGGAATTTATGTGGGAATTTAGTGGGAATTTAACTATATGAACTCATTGGATTTTAATTGGAGTTTCATGGGATTTTCATGGGATTTATATGGGATTTAATGATCAATTTTAAGGGTGTTATGGGGTAATATGGGGTATATGGGGATAGAACTGATAAACGATGATTGGTTGATGATATGGGATTGTACTACCCAATATATTGGAGATGCTCAAGATCCAGGAATGGGGAACAGGTAAACACATTCAGAACCGACAAGCGACCACCCACTTACCGATACCCTGTTCTGGTAGTACAATCCCCTCACTACCGATATATAGAGGACCACCCACTTTAGCCATGTCCTCTTCGAGTAGTACCGAACCTTGTCGGCCACTCACGTTTTATTTTATATATGTTTGCTGAAATATTGTACCCCGAATGTCATGGTTATCATCATTTTCCCCACTCAATGGCCATTGTTGGGGTATTCACCATGTTCATCCATTTTCAGACAAACCTAGAAAAAATACATATAAAGAGGATTAGTAATTGGATACTGGCCCATTGGTTGCTTCCTGGGCGTTTTTCAGTTTTCAGAACCAAACTTCACAGCCGTGATGCGATAGGAATATGGTTGGGATTAGGAAGAATCATCCCAATACCCAGCAGTGATACCATCTGGTTATTTAACATAGCCATGGAAAATGGCCCATTTATAGATGGTTTATCCATTAAAAATGGTGATTTTCTATGGCTATGTTAAATAACCAGATGGTAACAAGACTTGAGGTCGCAGTGTTGATGAAAATCGCTGATCCAAGTCATCCTACCGTGATTCGATCTGACGCAGAACGCGATTCGATTGAGGCTTGCAAAGTTCTGGACTGCGGAGGTGAACGATGCATGGTAGCAGCTAGCAGAAGTTCAAGAGATGTATTAGAGCAGTAAAAAATCCCTTTACCCTCTGGTAATGACTAACAGTTTGCGAAATGGAAAGATCCACCATTTTATAGCTGGGTAAATCCACTATTTCTATGGCAATTTTCAATAGCGAACTGTTAGTTTACCAGAGGGTACTGGCTTGTGGATCTCTTGATCCAAGGAGCGTTTCGTGACAGATATGCAGCTTCCACATGGCAGTGTACCACTTTGGGATCCTCGGCTCCAGACCTGGAAAATCAATGACCCCCCAAAAAATGCATGGTCCAGCGGTCCAGCTCAAAAAAAGACACCATTTGGAACCCAAGGTCTTTGGTCCATTTGGTCCATTGGCACCCAAGTCTTGATCGACATTTTTTGCAGTTCACTTAGTGGTTCACCTCTTAGTGGTTGCCAACGTTCGGTCAAAAGTTCCAGTTCCACCAGTTCCACCAGTTCCAGCGGCAAAAACACATAAGACATGAGTTGGTGAGCAGATCTCAACATCAACCGCTTGGGACGATCCACGTTTCTTTTCACGTCCTTTTTTTGGCACCAAATGGACAGGAAGTCTCGTACCTTGGGCGCTGAATGGCGCCTTAAGGATGGAAGGATCTAAGAAAAATAAAGAACCAGAAGTTATAACGACCTCACTACGACCTCACTGGAAATCATGGTTAGTAAGGGAAATCATCCCCAAATGGCCTTAATTCAGGCTAGTGAAATATTATAATTTACCCAGATACTTGGTATCTTGCTAGAAATGTATGACCACGTCAAGTCGAAAGATTGCTCAAGAGCGGCGAACATTCTCCATGCAGCGCGTGCCATGGAAGTTCCTGACTGTCCACGGCTGTCGCAGATTCAGAGGCGAGAACTCTGGTGCGCTGATGGGTTTGTATGGTCTTTGCATGTCTTTGCAATAGAAATGAGACGCACGGTTTGAAATGATCCTTTAGACTAGTAATCAGTATTTATAAATAATTATATATAGATAATTATAGTAAATTATAGTATCTATATTACAGTAGTGGACTTTCGTGTGAAGATTCTGTTTGATGCAATTTTTTGAGCTTCAAATTCTGCAGATAGCTACACATAGCTATGCCCTGAAGTTGGACCTAGGGGTTGACCCTCAATTCCCGAGGTAAGTTGCACCGATGGCAACCCCCTGTATGCCAGGAAGTGTTTCAACAAAGAAGTGGCATTGCGACGGATGGCAAGAGAAAATTCATGGCCGAGATCTGGTTTACTTCGGTGAGCGTGCCTTGATATGAGCAGTTGCTTTCCATCAAGGGGAAATTCATATAACTTGCTGGGGGGTTCAAAGATTGTTGATTTCCTCATTATTTGGCATGATGATCCCAATTATTACATCTCAGTTATATATACGATTATCTACGTATATATATATACATATGTATGTATAGTTTTTCGTAATTATATAGAAACACACAATCATAGTGGGATAATAAAACCCAAGCAAAACCCACCACCAGAAAACGTGGCTAAGACTCAAGTTCTTCCCAAGTTCATGGATCATGCCGTAGAAAGCGGGTCCATCATTCGAAGATGGCTGCCCTTCATGGCCAGCTTGTAGCGGGGTAAACTCCCACTGCATCGATTCCGAAATGGCTCCAGATGGATTCTCAGAGAACCACGAAAAGCCCGCTTGAAAACCGTTGCGGGCTTGGCATTTTTTCAGGTCATGAGCAGCCTGCCATTCTGGATGCACAAGTGGCAATGCTGGAATATTGGAGCAAGACAGTTGGGACTCCTGCCTTGGTCCTGGAGATCTTCACCAAGGATCAACAGTTTATTCTGGATCGCCTCTTGGGCGATTTTTTTGGGACGAAATTTGTCGGCTGGGCCTCCAGATTAATCAAATCTCCATTTTTGTGGATGATCCTTGAATTTCAGATGTTGAGCATTTCTATCATGAATCTATCCTGTCTCTATTATATCAGATATCTATTATATAATTAATTACTTATAAAAGTATAATTCATTATATATCTATTTTATCAATTCCTTCAGCGGACAATTCATTACTTTCTGGTAGTATAAATGGGCAATCTATACCATAGCTATGTTACCAGAGGGTAATGTTTTTCATTCAACCTCCACCTCCCCAGCCCCAGGATGGAAGAGCGAAGCTTTTGTCGTCTTGCAGCAGCTGTACCTGGACTCCGGCGGTGACTTCGTAGCTTAGCTATGGCCATGGTTTATTGCCATTTTAGATGGGAATATAGTTGGTGGCTCATCCCACTTAGTAAGTAGGTTATAAGCCTAGTTATAAGTGGATTACGCCTACTTCTGCCACTATTGAAACCAGGGTTATAACCCATCTAGTAAGTGGGATGAGCCACCAAGTACTAGAAATATTGGTTGAATTAGGTTAACATGGTTTCACAGACTTTAGACATCTTTAGACTTTTCGGTCCCTGATGCTCCAAGCGTCCAAGCGCGGTTTCTGCCCATGTTCAACCCCTAAACTGTCATCTGACTACAGTAAGTAGGTAAACTATATAAACATCTATAAACTATATGGGGATGGGTCAAAACCCTATCCCCCTGGTGAACATCAAAATAGCTGGTAAATGGATGTTCATCCCCCTAAAAATGGTATGTATAGGTATTGATCCATAGCCATATATTCATATTACACATAGAGCCTTGGGTCCTGGGAATCTATCATGTTTTTTTCTGATCTCCAAAGACATACCCGGAAATCAAGCATGGCCATAGGAGCTCTCTCACTACATGCCGCTGCTAGATGCCGCCACTGCCGCTGGTGTGAGATTGGTGGCTGGCTTTCCCAGCCGCGAAGCGGCACGGCGGATCATCCAAGATCCTGCATCGGAGGAAGTGACTCAGCCCATTAGTTGGATGGTCAATTTCAAAAAGGTACATGAAACACAGCAAATGGCAAGCGTTTTGTGAAATCAGCTTTGTTGCTTGATAGATGTTCTGCTTCTTGGGTCTGATCTGAACTCATCCAACTAATGTTAATAAACGACAATATTATACAATATTGGTTATCTTTGAGACATGTCCGTTGGTGATTACCGATAAACAAGAAAGAATCACCCCAAAACCAAGTACCCTAAGTTAAGAGAACAAACACAAGTGGAGATGGATCAAAACCTATCATACCGTATTGTGATGTATTGTGGGGATACGAATATCGGTTCACCAGCTATTTTAGCGTCCACCTGTATCAGGGCTTTGACCAACAATGGCAGCGGGTGTTCCACGCCCTATATTCAATATATTCCTGATAGCCAAAACCACGGTTGACGGCGAAAATCATCGAACATCCCTGCTATCAATGCCGCCAAACATCAACATGATGTAAAACCGGGCATGCTTTTCGAACATTCAAGTGTCAACCTTAAATTATGGCGGAACCCAAATTTTGGTCACCCCAATGATGGATGTTCATTAAAACTCATTAAAACCCGGATGAACATCTTTTTCTGGCTTCATTTAAAGCCCTACGAATTATTGGGGTCACCTTGGTGGAGTGAACTCCCTCAGGTCTCGAAGATGGCCCGGCTGCACCAAGAGCTGGGCCCGGCCATCGAGGACCACTTCCGTCTCTTCGCGGCCCTCATTGCCGGCGCTTCGGCGCCTGAGGAGGGGCCGCTGCCGCAGCGGGGGCGGCGGATCTTCCCGGCACAGTGTTGGAAGGACTTGGAATGTGCCAAGGTGGTGGCGGCCCTGTACCTGGCAGACATTTTTCGGTTTTTTTGGAGGGTGTTTGGATGTGTTTGTTGGGTCTTGAGCCGGGGATCATGGGCTGGTTTTTAGGTCAAATTTTTGGTTGTTCATGGGGGGGTTAGCTTTCCCGCAACGGTTTAACATCCCGTCGATCGCTGGGAGTTGTGGAGATTCCACACCCCAAAATCTGTGGGGCTACTTGAAGTGAGGCCAATTACCATGACATGGACGCCATTTTTCAGTAATGTTTGTTTCTTCATTTTGTTTTCGTTGGGTTTTTTTTCTCCAATTCTTTTTCTTCAACATCCTTACAACTATAGATATTAGATATTATTAGATGATAGTAGAATAGATGTTCTCAATCTTCCTGGCAAAATACGGGAACACAAATTTTTGCAACATTTTTCCCCCTGTTACATGCCATTGCTGCTTCTGACCTTACAGGTTACCAAGCCACAGTTCCATGGTGGTCGCCGGCTGCGGCCACACGGACTTTGCTCTTGGCATCCCATGTCGTGTGCGCGCGCTGGCAGCCGCGCCAGTTACGGATGAGGTGATCGTCACCTGCAGGGAGCAGGGGGAAGTGGTGACCAGGACGTTTCGAAGGCATGGAATGGAAGGTGTTTTATGGATTTTCTTGTGTGATATATTCATGTATTTGTATGATTTTGTATGTGTTTATATTTGAACATATATCATATTTATATTCTCCAAGTTTTTTGTTTATGAACATACTTCTTTTGGGATTGTTTTGGGTCATGTGGTAGCACCCAAGAGTGGGTTTTGTCTATACATGTTCGTATTCTTACAATTCAGATCTTAGAATAGATCAATACATCTTAAACACCCTTAACCGCTGTAGCTGTTTATTGGGTAATGTCAACTTTGCAAGGGGGTTGCCACCAAAAAAGTGAGAATCTGCAAATACATTGGCACCGCCCAGATTAAAAAGACCATGGGCGCATGGTTTTGTTGATCCGGGGTTGATATACGTGGTAAGAGTATACCCTAATAGTGGATAATGGTGGACTAGACCAACGTAAAAACTATTTGGGGAGTTTGATAAACCTTAAAGATTTGTCGACCTAGGGATGATTCGTAGGTTCACCGACACTCTGTCATGGTTAAGCCATAAAACTTGGATGCCTCACTGGTGGAAGATGTTGCAGTAACCGGTAACAAAAGCTGATAGGCCATCTCCGCAATTGCGGTTTGCTCGAAAATTGATGGTTTAAGTATGTTTAAGTATGTTTAAGTGGACTACAAACAGCGGATATAGTCCAACTTCGGATATAGGTCTTTCCATGGCATGTCTTTTTGTTGGTCAGGTAGGGGTCATCCAGCAGCGCAGGCACTCTCTAGCAGATCTATTGATCACTTACGAGCCGACCTGAAGAAAAGGGCGCAGCTGCGATGGCGGGATCAATGGCAAGCGAGATCAATGCTTGTTCATAATTGGGAATGGATCAATACCTATTAATACCATTTTTAGTGGGATGAACATCCATTTACCAGCTATTTTGGGGTTCACCAGGGGTACAGGGTTTTGACCCATCCCCAATTGTTCAAACCTTCATCACTGAGTATATACCCTCTGGTTATGACTAACATAGCCATGGTATAGATGGCCCATAGAAATAGATGGTTTACCTATTGCATGGTGATTTTCCATGGCTATGTTAAATAACCAGATGGTAATTCATTATAATTATAATTCTATCTGATGATGTACTGGTTTCATCCTGATTTAATTGTCTGGCGAAAAAGTTTGCTAATCACTTGTGGCTTTGGTGTTGGCGTGCAGTTAGAAGCCCCACGATGAATCCTTGCCCCAGAGAAACGCCATAGATCACACAGGTCTGGCGGCGGGATAGGACTCCAGACTCTGCAGTGTTCAAAAAAATTGGGTAGAAAATGTGGTGAATGTTTGTTGGGCTAACGTATTGCCAATGCGGAATCTGCCGTACTATGCTGTAAATTTGACCCAGCCAAGAAGTAGCTTTATTGAGACGGCCATCCAAGACTGGTTGGTGGTTTGGAACATTTGGATTATTTTTCCCATCATATTGGGAATTTCATCATCCCAACTGACTTTCACTCCATCATTTTTCAGAGGGGTTCAAACCACCAACCAGTCTTAGACTTTCATGTGTTTTCCATATCATCTATCTGATAGTTATCCTCAGGGTAGTACTTAGTCTAGTTATCTGCGAAACATCTTTGGGAATAATCATCCCAACTGACTTTCATATTTTTCAGAGGGGTAGAACCCAACCACCAAGCAGAAGATGACGGAAGGATTCGGCCATTGATGGCAGCTGTGCCCGCCCTGAGGAGATGTTGGATGGCCGTGTACGATCCATCCGCATGGCTGCTGAGGACATCGGTTTTTTAGTGTGACCCAGATGGATCAACACGCGCAAGATTTGGGAAGATTCATTTAGCCTCTGGTAATGACTAACATAGCTATTGAAAATGGCCATAGAAATAGTGGATTTTCCCATTGAACATGGTGATTTTCCATAGTTATGTAAACGTTTACCAGAGGGTATATATCTGGGGAAGAGTGAAAAATCTGAAAAGAAGAGTTGGAACGAAGTAAATAGCGCTGAAATAGTGCTATAGACTCACCAGCCATGAATGCAACGAAAAGCAGCCATGGGGCCATGCTACAAATGCTGGATTTTCCAGCCCAGCTCTCAAGGGCTGAGCCAGGACGCCCGAGGTCCATGTTGGGCTCGATATTTGGCACAGTTCTTTGGTGGCAAACCGCCAGGGCTTATCACCATACTGTGACTGATCGGAATGAGATGGATCGATGGATCTAATAGGGACTACCCGGCCTGGTTATGACTAACAGTTTGCCATGGTAAAGATGGCCCATAGAAATAGATGGTTTACCGAACTTAAAAATGGGTGGATTTTCCATGGCTATGTTAAATAACCAGATGGTAGATGTTTGAATTCCTATGAAGCCACTCCAAGGAGTTCGATGTTTTTGGCGGCTTCGCAGCTCCGCCTGAGGCTCCTTTGGGAGAAAGAAGAGTTGCAGCTCCAGTTGGATAGCCACATGCGATTTGTTCCAGGCTCGGATGAGCAGTTTTTGATGTGCCTGAAAGGTGGCTGGAACAGCAATCTCCACCTGGGTTGACTTAAAGTTGAAGTCGAGGCATGTGCCAAGTGCAGGCAGATTGAATGCCTTGAAACTTCGGCAAATTCCATACACTTCAAGTGATATGCGCTCCAAAGAGCATTTAATTTAAGTAGTGTCTTTTTTAGCCCTCAGAAGTTCGTATACTGGATCTGGTACCATGATTTCTTATCATAGTTCCCGGAGTTCCATTTTCCATCATTTTTTTCTCGTCTTCGCTCAATTTCACTGCGAGGTTGGGATACTAAAGCCCGTGACGAGTTGAAATTCTGCAGTCAGAGTTCCGAGAAACCCATCTTGTGCTCCTATGGCGCGGGCTACTCCCTCGGCCACCTGGTGATTTCGGCCCAAAGAAACCTTGGATGAATGCTGACTATCGGGGGTCCTCTTAAAAAGGATACACCAGTTGGGGACCCTACTGTTCAGATGGTGATTTAGTTTTCTACCCCTTTGGGAACTTGCCCACTCATGGGGTACATTAGGGTAATCATATGGTAAATGATACAGTCATGTAGTACGTTATACGGTTATACGTTATGGTTCCAAATGGTTCCAATGAATTCCCACGTAGGCAACCCCCCTTTGTTCTGGTTAGGTACGTTTATAATCGCTTATATCTTGTAAGGGCCCACTACTGTAGAATGCGGGAAAGAAGGGGATGACTACACACTGGAATGTTAGGTCTGGCACTGATTTTGTTTGCGTTTTTTGGCTATACACATTCCCACCGGCGCTGCCCACTATGAGCATGTCCACGACGTCTAAGCGTTGCCCAAGGCACACCATATTGGGAGACTCCAAAGGGCTCCAGCCAGACGAGTGTGAAGCTCATCTGAAGTTCAGCCGGAGGTGAGTGATTTGTCGATCATTTTCTTCTGGTTGGTGGTTTGGAACATGAATTTTATATTTTCCCCATCATATTGGGAATTTCATAACCCCAACTGACGAACTCCATCATTTTTCAGAGGGGTTCAAACCACCAACCAGTCTTAGATTTTCATGTGTTTTCCATATCATCCATCTGATAGGTATCGTCAGGGTAGTACTTAGTCTAGTTATCTGCGACACATCGTGGAGAGATGTGGAGAGTTAAAATTGATCCACTTTCGAGCGACTTTTGCTTCAGCTTAGCATCTTACTGGGCCTGTTTCTCAACATGTCCCGAGTCCCACGTCCTTCACCTAGACAGCGCAGAGGATTTACGTCTGCATCGATGCAGTACATGATGTACAGTGTACAGGCTGTACAGGGCAATGATTTCAAATCATCAGCTCAAAATAACTGACATACCCTCTGGTAATTTAACATAGCTATTGAACATGAACCATTTATAGTTGATTTACCTATAATAAGGATGGTGATTTTCCATAGCTATGTAAACGTTTACCAGAGGTTAATCTCTATGGATTTCCCAAGGCCGACCAACTGACCAACATCATACGTCTGGCTCTTCGGAATTCACAGAACAAGTTCCCACCTTTGGTGGCATCCAATGGGAGCAACACCAACATCAAGTTCCCATATGGACCCCCCAAAAAAATTAGAAGTCCAATACTAAACCACCACTGTTTCTGGGGATTTCGAGGCTGGATATTTAATCCTAGGGTCCTAGAAGAGATTAATCAATCAGCCAAGTTGTGTCTCGATATTTCCATTGGTTGATCATCGTATTCTTCACCAAAACGATCCAAAACGGCCATTTGGATCCATTTGGTCGTATACAGTATGTGGCAACACACCCAGGACCCAGGAGTCCCGGAGGGCCATGAAAGCCTATAAAACCCCATCAACCCCCACACATTGTGGTTGCAATATACAATGTTAAGTTATATATATATGTATATATATCCCCAATCTTGTTCGTTAAATCCCATTGGCTGATTGTTCTTAATCTGAATTAATCTCTTCTAGGATTGGACATATCGAGACGCAACTTGGATATAAGTTGTATACCCCCAAAAAAATCGCTTACCCTCTGGTACTTTAACATAGCTATTGAACATGGCCATTAATAGTGGATTTTCCCATTAAAAATGGTGATTTTCCATAGTTATGTTAGTTTACCAGAGGGTAATCGTGATCAATCGAAAAAATGCCTCAGTTCGCCAGTTCCAGCCAGAAACCCATCAGGAACTGCGCCAACACCTTTGATTCTGACGGCATTCTCCTGATCAAAGCAAGAGAATTGAAGGCTCCACTGGACGAGCCAAGGCCGATGGAGGGATGATGGAGACAGCCATTGATGTAGGGATGATTATTTGGCTATGGATCAATACCTATACATACCATTTTTAGGGGGATGAACATCCATTTACCAGCTATTTTGATGTTCACCAGGGGGATAGGGTTTTGACCCATCCCCATTTAAGATTATCAAGGATAAAGACGATGATCAATGTTAATGATAGACATGTTAATGAATGATGCTAATTAAGAATTATAATCACACTATGAATCACATTTGTTTAATGATTAGTGTGTCAATGATGATCACATTTTGTATGATAAAGATTAATTATTAATGATCAACATACGCAGAACACAACGATCAACACCATTAATTATTAGTGATCAATAGTATATAATAATGTGGTAACACCACTGACAATCAACATTTATGCAATCCCAACTTTCTTTTTTTTTTAAATGGTGTTTGCTTTTTAGCCGTCATTTAAGAAACTTAACTTTCAAAATCAGGTATAGACATCTATTAATTGGATTTACATGGATTTACCACAGGAAAGCACTATAGATTTGGATGGCAGAGATTTCATGAGATGGTTTCCCACAACAGGTCGGTACACGGGATGTCCCAGTTGATCCAAGCCGCTTTTTCTTTCTCACACATTGCAGCCGGCTGGGGTGTCCTTTAGCCCCAAAATTGGATGGCTTACAATCAACAAGACCTATCAACTCCGGATCCACTGGCCTCTGCTGAAAATTCTCGACATTCCCCCAAAAACTGCTGGTGATTTGCTGATTTTTCTTCACAGATCCTTGGCTCCTTGGCTTCGCGCCGCAGGAAGCACTACTTCTGGGGCGCGCAGTTTTCCTTCTCCTCGGCGGACGTCCTCTGTGAAGTGCCCTATGATCCGCAGCTGCAGATGTCGCTCAGCGGAATTCGTCGGAAAGGGGAGCATCGTTTTTTGGTACAAAGAATTTCGGCTAAGATGAGTTCAAAACCCTCAACAAATGGGATACCCTCTGGTAATTTAACGTAGCTATTGAAAATGACCATTTATAGTGGATTTTCCCATTGAACATGGTGATTTTCTATAGTTATGTTAGTTTACCAGAGGGTACACAAATGAGTATAGAAATGGGAATATCGAATCAATGATGATCTGCTTGCTGGTTTCATTTTTGTAATCTTCAAACATGGTATGATGATCCGAATGACTAGTTAAATCAGCTTGCTGAAATCTCGTGGCCCGGAATCAGAGTTGGCTTTGAGAAGAAACCACAACTGGCCATATCTTACAGCAACTAGCAATAAACATCACCACCAAAAATGTTTGGGCTAGGATTTTTCGGGGAAGAAAGTTGGGATATGGCCAGTTTTTTCCATGTATTTTCCCTGGGATAAATATCTACAGCTTGCCAGAACGAGGCTCTTTTCGGGGAAGAAATTTTGATGGCCGTGCGTTTCTTCACTCACGGATGGGTCGCTTGGTGGAAACCGGCAGCCTCTGCTAATCGCAATGACAGGAAAGTGTCAATTCCAATATGTATCTGTATATATAATATGTATACGAATATAATATATATATATACGTATATATATATATATACGTATACATATATATATATATCATTATATATCTAGATACACATGTTTTTTTTTCCATTTCCTGGTTAGATTTTCCACTTCCATTTCAAACAGATCTTCTTTTGGAGGGTGGCTGTTCGGTGAAAGCGTCGCCATGCGGGGCCAGCGGGTGACGATGTCATGTAGTGCAACTGGTTTTCCTACGCTTAAGTTGAAGGTGATTTGTTATGTATTATATATGATAATATATATATATAAGTACATTATAATATATATATATATGTCATACTATATCTTATATATATACGCATTATATGATATATATAACATAATATAATATGATATATTATAATATCATATTATTATATTATATTATATTTTATTTTATTTTATTGTATTATATTATATTTTATTATATTATATTATATTATACTATATTATACTATATTATATTATATTATATTATATTGTATTATATTGTATTATATTGTATTAGATTGTATTATATATATATTTATTTCCCCAATGGGTATTTATTTCCCCAATGGGAGAACCACCCTTTGGATCCATTTGGGACGTATCTACCGGGAATCTTCAAGTTTTCCCACATGTGTTGGGTGAGATGATGATCAACCAAGGATGTGTTCACCCCAAAGGAGCAGCTATTTTTCCACCTCTGGGAGAGAGATTATCGCCGAGTCTATTGGAAAGACAACAGGCCACTCATGGGGAGATCATGGGGAGATCATGGGGAGATCATGGGGAGATCATGGGCTCTGATTTTTTTTTTTAAAACTGGTTGATATATAGGTCTTGTTTTTTTTTTCTCCGGAAAAAGTATTGAATGGTTGATGAGCATTTCCTCCATTGAACTGGCAATGAGCATGCCCCACTTCTGGACAAAGCCACAGCGCTTCGGGAGCCATGTTTAGGAAGACCCTATCTGGTTGGTGGTTTGGATCATTTTTTATTTTTCCATATATCTGGTTTTTAAGAAATCACCAACCAGCTATATTCTGATGTTTTTTTCCCATGTTTCCTGCACACATGTTTCTTTCAGTTCAACCATCCGAACAAAACATTTACTGTGGGACAAATGTCGCAGCTTGTCAAGACAACATGGGGGGTCCCAACGAGTGCATAGTTTCCTATATTCTGAACCAGTGAACCTAGATCAACTGTGATTGCCCAATGGTGCGGCTTTGGTGAGAGACTAGGAATCAAAAAGCAACAAACATCTAGAGATAACCCTAAAAATGACTCAAAACGCAACATCCCCAAGTCAAAAACTTGTTTCCAGCTCTTGTTCAGGGTTTCAACATGTCTCCATCCATATACTGGCCATCAGAGCCACCATTGCGCAGGGAGCTCTTTGCTTCACTTCTCAAGGTCCGCTCTTTCTGGGTTTTAGCTGCTACTTAGTTGTGGATGAGAGCATTTTCTTACCCGCAAAGGTTGCTTATAGAGAGTAAATCAAGAATCGCTGAAATTATGTTTGGCAATGTTTGGCGTTGGATCGGGGGCCAGATGCTTCTTTCTGTGATAAGTGAAGCTTCTACATACCAGTAGAAAATACGGAGTGGACATATGTATAGACATGTATTTCAGAACAGAGTGGAGAACCCAAGTCATGATATCAACCGACTCAACACATGTGTTTCTTTTGGGGCATCAGCTGGGGCCTGGAATGCCGCGCAAGATACTATGGAAGGAACGATGTTCTGAGGCAGTAATCATGATGTGCTATGTGCAGATGCACAACAGCAGAAAGTTTGGTGCTGTTCATGTCACCCAAAAACAGTTTGAATGTGCACAGACTTAATGCAGTCGAAATACAGAATCCGGTGGTTTTGAGGCCCCTTTCACCCCAAGTTTATGGGTCCAAAAAAATTGGCCCATGGGGGTCGGTGGTAAAAAAAGGACCATTGTTTAGTTTTGCTCCCCGGCAATCAAACATGGCTAGCTGGAAAATCCCACATTTATAGTTCATTTTCCCAATAAACCTTCATTTCTCGTTGATTTTCCTGTTGAAACCCTTCATTTACAGGGCGGTTCAAGGATTTTTTCCATTAAAAACTCACATTTTGACTTCGGGTCCCATCTGGTCGACCCACATCCGCTCCGCTTAAGGAGTCCCAGTGCCGCGTTCTGTCGCAGTTGGAAAGCGGCAGAGCCGTGGCCGGCACGGAGAGATGGCCCCTTCCAGGTGCGAGCCTTGTTGGACTGAAAAACTTGTAGAATATACTACTATAGATACAGACTATATACATATTAATCCTCATATATCTCATCATATGAATCACGTTCTCAATAAATATCTTTCCTGAAACTTCGAATTGGTCCATGATATCCTCAGGATATGGAAGTCTGGTGCCATGAAACATGGATCAACTGGATCAACCTTGCCTCCAGTGATGCTAAGGTGGTGGTGTGTCCAACCCTGAGAAGGACCACTTCAGTCTGGGCACGCACAGAACTTTGGAGGACTATCAGGTCCTTCGGGAGGAATTTGGGGCCAAGTTTTGAGCAAAAAGTGGTGCAGTCTACGTTGCCTCACTGGCCCAGATCAATGGTTTTTTTCAACCACCCATGGGGAGATTCACCGAGAAATCAGGCTTCCTGGGTTCCTGGCCCCCAAAAATTACTTACTCGTATAGTTGGTGTCGTTTGGGTTGGAATTGTTGGAGATTTTTCTAGACTTCAAGCAGAAAGGCTGGAGGATGAAATCAACTGTGTTTGGCAGTCATGATTTGCCACAGCAGAGATGAATTTCATGATATGGCCGGCTATGGTTCCTGTAAGATTCAGTAGCCATGGCTGAAAATTCAAGGACAGAACCTTGAGTTCAAAAACACATGGTTTCCCAACATCTGGGCATGGGTCAGATGGATAGCACATCAAATAATTCTCTATTTGCGGGTGGGTTAAAGATCTTAAATCACCAAAGTAATCATGCTTGTTTGGGGATGGTTTGGCCATATGTGTTGCCCATTGATTTCCTGTTTTTCTTTTCCTACCAGTAGCGCCAGTGGATCAAAGTAGTGGAACATCCACAGTTTGTAGAGAGCATTGGGGTTTATCCTCATGGTATGCTGTCAATGTAGAAGTTACGACTACAAATGCTGGAGCTGCGGCTCGAGAAATACCTCTTCCAGGTGGCGGCTGGCGTCAACTTCCGAGAGAAGCGATTGGAGGCGACGTGGCTTGGGTATTGATTTTTTTTTAATGGTGAGTGGAACGTAGTGGAACCCCAAAATTCTGGTGCTTCAGGAAAGCAATTATCTGAATTATCTGCAGCAAATGGTTTGAATCCTTGCTTGTTTTCCATTTCGCCCAAAAACATCCAAAACGTCTTCTGTCATGGTGAATCTCATGTTTAGCAAAGTGGCTCAATTCCTTTTTGGCGTACCACCAATTCTGTTCGAAAGACATTCTTTGGTATCATATTTGGGAAATTCCCTCAATTGGTCTCCGTACTCTGTTTTTGATAAACCGTGGGATGTTTTTTTAGAGACACACCAATTTGTCACGACAAAAACAGTGATATTTCTAGACCTCTGGGGGTGAAACTTGGTTCAACATCATTATCACAAAAACTAACGAATGGTTTGCCCCCTTTTGAAAAAGTCATCAGTCAGTATCATAGTGAAGGAGATCCGGAGGAAACCTTTTTTTTTTCATTTTTCCCGAGAGCGTCTGAGCGCAGGGTTCTTCCAATAGTGGGGGTCTGTAAAACATCTTCTCATCTTCACATCTTCTCATCTTCACATCTTCTCATCTTCACATCTTCTCATCTTCACACCTTCTCATCTTCACATCTTTTCCTCATCCCTCATCTTCTCATCTTCACATCTTCTCATCCTCACATCTTCTCCTCATCTTCTCATCTTCACATCTTCTCATCTCCTCATCTTCTCATCTTCACATCTTCTCATCTTCACATCTTCTCATCTTCACACCTTCTCATCTTCACATCTTCTCATCTTCACATCTTCTCATCTTCACATCTTCTCCTCATCTTCTCATCTTCACATCTTCTCATCTCCTCATCTTCTCATCTTCACATCTTCTCATCTTCACATCTTCTTATCTTCACATCTTCTCACATCTTCTCATCTTCTCACATCTTCTCATCTTCACATCTTCTCACATCTTCTCACATCTTCTCACACCTCCAGTCACATCTTCTCACATCTCCTCATCTTCTCATCTTCACATCTTCTCACATCTTCTCATCTCCTCATCTTCTCATCTTCACATCTTCTCATCTTCACATCTTCTCCTCATCTTCTCATCTTCACATCTTCTCATCTCCTCATCTTCTCATCTTCACATCTTCTCATCTTCACATCTTCTTATCTTCACATCTTCTCACATCTTCTCCTCTTGCCCTCTTGCCCTCTTGCCCTCTTGCCCTCTTGCCCTCTTGCCCTCTTGCCCTCTTCTTCTTTTCGAGGGTCGATCGTCAAAAACTGAGGAAAAATTGCGATTTTACTTGTCCTAAAGCAACCCTTTCGCACGAAATGAGGGTCGATCGTCAAAAACTGAGGAGAAATTGCGATTTTACTTGTCCTAAAGCAACCCTTTCGCACGAAATGAGGGTCGATCGTCAAAAACTGAGGAAAAATTGCGACTTTACTTGCCCCCATTGCGACTTTACTTGCCCCCGAGCAACCCTTTCGCACGAAATGAGGGTCGATCGTCAAAAACTGAGGTAAAATTGCGATTTTACTTGTGCCGGACTTGTCTGTGTGTAAAAGCGCCTGTGTGTAAAAAGCGTCTGTGTGTAAAAGCATCTGTGTGTAAAAGCGTCTGTGTGTAAAAGTGTCTGTGTGTAAAAGCGTCTGTGTGTAAAAGCGTCTGTGTGTAAAAGCGTCTGTGTGTAAAAGCTTCTGTGTGTAAAAGCTTCTGTGTGTAAAAGCGTCTCTGTGTGTAAAAGCGTCTGTGTGTAAAAGCGTCTGTGTGTCAAAGCGTCTGTGTGTAAAAGCGTCTGTGTGTAAAAGTGTTTGTGTAAAAGTGTTTGTGTAAAAGTGTTTGTGTGTAAAAGCCTCTGTGTGTAAAAAGCGTCTGTGTGTAAAAGCGTCTGTGTGTAAAAGCGTCTGTGTGTAAAAGCGTCTGTGTGTAAAAGCGTCTGTGTGTAAAAGTGTCTGTGTGTAAAAGTGCCGTGTGTAAAAGCGGTTGTGTGTAAAAGCGTCTGTGTGTAAAAGGGTCTGTGTGTAAAAGCGTCTGTGTGTAAAAGCGTCTGTGTGTAAAAGCGTCTGTGTGTAAAAACATCTGTGTGTAAAAGCGTCTGTGTGTAAAAGCGTCTGTGTGTAAAAGCTTCTGTGTGTAAAAGTGTTTGTATGTAAAAGTGTTTGTGTGTACAAGCTTCTGTGTGTAAAAGCTTCTGTGTGTAAAAGCGTCTGTGTGTAAAAGCGTCTGTGTGTAAAAGCTTCTGTGTGTAAAAGCGTCTGTGTGTAAAAGCTTCTGTGTGTGAAAGTGACTGTGTGTAAAAGCTTCTGTGTTTAAAAGCTTCTGTGTGTAAAAGTGTCTGTGTGTAAAATGGTCTGTGTGTAAAAGTGTCTGTGTGTAAAAGCGTCTGTGTGTAAAGGAGTCTGTGTGTAAAAGTGTCTGTGTGTAAAAGCGTCTGTGTGTAAAAGCTTCTGTGTGTAAAAGCGTCTGTGTGTGTAAAAGTCTCTGTGTGTAAAAGCGTGTGTGTAAAAGCCTCTGTGTGTAAAAGCGTCTGTGTGTCAAAGCGTCTGTCTGTAACAGTCTCTGCGTGTGAAAGTGTTTGTGTAAAAGCGTCTGTGTGTAAAAGCGTCTGTGTGTGTAAAAGTCTCTGTGTGTAAAAGCGTCTGTGTGTAAAAGTCTCTGCGGGTAAAAGCCTCTGTGTGTAAAAGTCTCTGTGTGTAAAAGAGCCTGTGTGTAAAAAGCGTCTGTGTGTAAAAGCGTCTGTGTGCAAAAGCGTCTGTGTGTAAAAGGGACTGTGTGTAAAAGCGTCTGTGTGTAAAAGCTTCTGTGTGTAAAAGCGCCTGCATGTAAAAAGCGTCTGTGTGTAAAAGCGTCTGTGTGTAAAAGCGTCTGTGTGTAAAAGAGCCTGTGTGTAAAAAGCGTGTCTCCATACTAACAACAGAAGACTCTGCTCCTCTACGCTCTCGGGCTATCCGTCGTCTAGTTTTTTTTTTTTTGCGTGGTTTAAGTTACTAAGTATGGTAACCACCAAAAAGATAGAATTGTGAATTACTATAATATTTCAGCAGGATTTTCCTGTTCGATGATGTTCGATGTATTTTTGGGGTTGCTATACCATATGTACAATGCCATGCTGTCTTCCCACGACCTAAAGTATGATATGGTGATGCCCCCGAAAACATAAAATTATATAGGATAAATTAGGGGGAGTGAATTTCAACTGCCAATGGACAGTTTCCCCCAGTTTGTGCGGATTTTTCGGATGACCCGGATACTCCTTAGTAGTTAGTTATGTGAAACTATCAGACCGCCTGAAAGCAATACCAGAGGTTACCAACTTACCAACTTCTGCGGTTATACTTGTAGCGCTTCTACGGTTGTGAAGCTGTCAACCAGGCTCGAGCTTTGCGTGGAGGTGATAACCATCACAGAGAAGATGATTTCAAAGAGGCCATGGTTCTGCCACCTGGCTGAAATGAGGAACCATACTTTTTTTTGGTGGTAAAGCAAGCATCGAAACTGGGAAATTTTTAGTCGTTTTCGGAATGTGAATGATAAGCAACATAAGCAAGCGTGAATAGCATCAATACTCATCAATCATTTTGTGACTCAGCTGTGTCCTCACTGGTTGGAGAACACATACAGATGATTGACCTGCAACAATTAGGATGGGATCAGGTGACAACGGCATCTGTGTTCCGTTTTTCATGTTTGAACCCGAATGCATCAATGGTTCTGTCCAAAAATCACCTGGATTGACTGCTTCCACATTCTACAGCCAAAACCCAGCTATGGGCCCCAAATCATTGGGGGAAAAACACCCACAGTCCATGGGTTTGGCCGGGTTTGGTATTGAAATGTCTGAAGAGTCACTCCAGCTGAAATCGATTTCCAGTTTGGCCCCCACTTGGCTTCCATATGTGTCAAAAGATGGATCATATACATTCATTTACATACATATTTTTAGGATGGTCATCGAAGAACTATATAATATGCACATCTATTTACCAATCATGTTTGGATTGGGAACGGGATGTTTGACCATATCACATGTTCATCCCATTTGACTCGACCATGGCACATTAATGATAGCCATGGCCTCCCATATGATAATCATATGGCTATGGATCAATACCTATACATACCATTTTTAGGGGGATGAACATCCATTTACCAGCTATTTTGATGTTCACCAGGGGGATAGGGTTTTGACCCATCCCCATATTACAGAAAGCTTGGACATGTTCATCTTCGTTGGATTGGCGAAAAGACTTGCAAGCTTTGGCGCAAGAAAAATTTTGCTCAAATCGTTGCAGGAATGAATGAACAACATCCGGAAATTCACGTCGTAGTCTCTGGTAATAGGAACAATACCCTCTGGTAATGACTACCCTCTGGTAAACTAACATACTATGGAGAATCACCATTTTTAATGGGAACACTCACTATAAATGGCCATTTTCAATAGCTATGTTAGTTTACCAGAGGGTAACAGTTTTTTTTATTGAAAATGGCCCAGTCGAAATAGTTGATTTACTCATTAAGAATGGTGGATCTTTCCATAGTTTTTTGTTAACGTTTACCAGAGGGTTTCACCTCCCCCCCATTTTTGATGGCCGAAAGTGGCGGATTTTCCCATCGTCTCAGGCAGAAGCCACCCTTGACGTTGTCCGATACTCCTGCGGAGCTGCACAGCATTGCAGGAGACAACCAGGGTAGCTGGAAGACAACCATGGCTTCCCAAGGAAAATCATGTAAGTATTGAAGTACACATATGTTTTTTCATATTTTTTCTGGTTGTCTAGAATGTATATCTATTGTAATCTAGATTAATCTAATCTAGTCTATCTATCCAATATCAAATATCACATATATATAATATTATATTTGATATCCAATTTTGAAAATCTAATATCTACGTATATATGTATGTATATATATAATATATATATGGGAGCCGTCCAAAAACCCCAGAAAGGTTTTTAGTAAAGGACCTATTCTCACATTTAGCAAGTTTCGCGCAAGGGCGGCCCAAGGTACGCGCAAGTACTATTGTTATCATTATTACAAGTACTATTTTTAATTAACATTTTGATTACTACTACTACTACTACTACGACGACGACGACGACTACTACTACTACTACAACTACCACTACCACTACCACTACCACTACCACTACCACTACCACTACCACTACCACTACTACTACTACTACTACTACAACATTACCACTACTACTACTACAACTACAACTACTACCACTACTACTACTACTACTTCTACTACTACTATTACTACTACCACTACCACTACTACTACTACTACCACTACCACTACCACTACTACTACTACTACTACTCCTACTACTACTACTCCTGCTATTACTACTACTATTACTACTACTACCACTACTACCACTACTACTACTACAACAACAACTACAACTACATTACCACTACTATTACTACTACTACAACAACAACAACAACTACTACTACTACTGTATCTGATTTAGATCTTAAATATTAATATCTCGAGTTGATAAACATAGATAACCAGGGTGGTAAATAGGCCATCCAAAGAAAAAGGAGCAGATAGATAGATAGATAGATAGATAGATAAATAGATAGATAGATAGAGATAAAGCAGCCAACGCCATGCAGCAGCAGTCCGGAGATGGTGAGCAGGAAGGTGTTTCAGAGTGGTTTCAGACCTCTTTTGGGCTTGTTTTTTTGGGTACCCCCAGCTTTGGGAGATGAAAAAAGAAAGAGAAAAGGTATAGAAAGAGAGAGAGAGAGA